TGGCTCCCAACCTAACTATAATTGTTAATTAGTTGTAGAAGTTACTCTCTCTCTCTCCATCAACCTGGTGCTCTCACAGTATCATCCTCAGGAGGTTCGTTTACCTTAAGTCCTTCAGGTATATCTCGCACCACTTGGGTCTTTGACTCAAGTGCCACACATCACATGACGTGTGATTTTTCCTTCAATTTGTATTTGTGCTTATAGCTAATGGCACTCACATGTCTTTGACTCATGTTGGTACAGGTATTTCTCCCTACCTCACACTTTTGGATGTGAGGTAGGGAGAAATAGATTATTCCTATTCAGACCAAGGAGATGAACAAATACAACACAATTAAGACACAAGGAGCGAGACCGATTTATCATGATAAAACAACGACAAATGAGATTTGTTATCCAAAATGGGGGAAAGGCGTGCGATTAATAAGATAAACTAAAGTAAGAACAGCATTAACCCAATATTATTTTGGCACATGCATGTTAATTATCAATGTGTGGGCAATATCCAGCAAATGACGATGTTTACGTTTGGCAACACTATTTTGTTGGAAGATACAAGGACATGTTAGTTTGATAGATAATGTCACGGTCGATACGAAAGATTTTCAAAATAATTGAGTGTACTTAAGGGCATGGGCATTGTCAGACCTAAAAACTTTAATATGAGCATCAAACTAAGTTAAAATTTCATTATAAAATGTGGTAAAGACCTTAGGCAATTGAGAACAATCTTTCATAAGAAATAACATCATACAAGAAATCATCAACAAATATCACAAAATACTGAAATCCATAAATACTTTTAACTCTTAAAGGACCCTAAATATCTACATGAACCACATGAAATGGACTCGACTAATGACTTGAAGATCTAGGAGGAAAAGAACTACGGTTATGCTTGCCTAATTGACAATCCTTAGATTCTAACAAAGAAGAGAACTCAAACTAGGGATAACTTATCACAACTTTTGCACAGAGGGATAATCTCTTCAGAAGTGCCGCTGAAGAGCAGACATAGTAGCACCTCTGGCAAGAACAAAACCATCCGAATCTAAGTAATACAAGCCATGTGCTCATGCCCAATATCAATAACTTTCTTTGTCTTGAGATCATTAAAAACACAAAAGGATGGAGAGGATGTTACTGAACAATGTAATGACTTAGCGAGCTGACTCACAGATAATCACATCAAACTAAGCTTTATGTCCCAATCATTTTGAGTCGACTATATGAGTCCGTTTTCGTCATTCCTTTCGGTCATGCGCTAAACGCTTCTTTGAGTTGACTTACAAATAACAAGTTAAAATAAAAATTACGAACAAACAAATCATTGGTTAAGAGTGTTAAGTTGAGAGAATTAACACAATATTGGAGAGAAATTGAGAATGGTCAAAACTTAACCTATCTCTCACAAACCACTTGTATTTATGGTTAACTTGTAATAATACAAAATACGTATATACCCTCTAATATTTACACATAATACCCTAATACTTTTAACACTCCCTCTCAAATTGGATTATATATATCATATAATTCAAACTTAAAACAAATTACTATAAGACGTGTACGATTCAATACTTTGGTAAACATATCTGCAAGCAGATCTTCAGATTTCACAAATGGAATCGTAATCTCTTCAGCTACTATCTTATCTCGAATAAAATGATAGTCAACTTCAATAAGTTTGGTTCTCTCGTGAAATATTAGATTGGCAATGATATGGATAGATTCCTGATTATCATAGAATAACTGTAAAGAAGGTTGAACTAAAAATCTAATTTTCTGGAGAAAATGTAGTAACCACGTCAACTCACTCGTTGTATGCTCCATTGTCCTATACTTAACCTCAACACTGGATCTCGCTACCACAAGTTGTTTCTTACTTTTTCGTGAGACAACATTACTTCCTAAGAAAGTACAATAACCAGTGGTTGATCTCCAATGAGAAAGAGAGTCAGGCCAATCAGCATCTGAGAAACCTTCAACTCTAAGATGTCAATTAGCTCGCTATAACAACCCAAGGCCAGAAGCACATTTGAGATATCGCAGAATACGAGGAACTACCTCCCAATGTAGTACTCTAGAACATCCCATAAACTGACTTACTATACTAATTACATAGAAAATATCTGATCGAGTAATAGTGAGATAATTGAACTTCCCAACGAACTTGCGATACCAATCTGGATTCTCAAACAATGAACCATCATCCATTAACAATTTCTAATTCAAATCCATAGGAACATCAATTGGTCTGCCACCCAACAAACCTACTTCCTCTAGTATGTCAAAGTACATATTTCCTCTAGGATCTAAGAAGCACGAACACGGATACGAGATACAGATACGACACAACACGGACACGTTGACACAATTTTTCAAAAAAGTTGGAGATAGACACATTAACGATATATTAAATAATATGTATTTTATACATATATTAATATAAAATCATGTGATAAAATAAAAATATTATCATAACAATCTTTTAATTCATTATTTTCTTAATTCTAAAAATTGACATCATGATATCACTATATAAAAAGTACAATATAAGATATATTGATACACATTCAACATTGACATCCATGATTCAATAATCAATGACTTCTATAACTTTTACTTAAAAAAATATTTCATTTTGTTATACTAATTTTCATCAAATTCCAAGAGCTCTAATTTTGTAATCCAATTTTTTTTTACATTATTTTCGTATTAAAAGACTATTCCATTTGTATATAAGTCCGTATTCGTATCCAAAATTATGTTAAATTAATGTCCTATGTTCAATGTAATGATTATAACTTTTTTTATATTATGATTGTGACTCATATCTGTTTAAAATTGTAAAAATAACTCTTAATTATAAAATTATTTGAAAATTTCTCAAACAATTGGAAATAAATCTCAAAACGTGTCCCAACATATCATGAACGTGTCAGCCGCGTGTCCCCAACGTGTCCTACAAATAATTTAACAATAAAAAATCAGATACTCATTTTAACATGTCTTGCACGTATCTGAGCATGTCTGAAGCGTGTCCGTGTCCCAGACGTGTCCGACACCGACACTTGCCCAAAATGAAGTGTTCGTGCTTTCTAGTCTGGGATAAACAAATACCCTGTTTAGATTGAGCCACCTCAATACCCAAAAAATATTTAAGTTTTTCTAAATCCTTAGTATGAAATCGGTCTTGCAAGAAGGCTTTTAATTTAATAATTCCCTCAGAATTATTTTTAGTAATCACAATATCATCTACATAAACCGCCAATAAAACATATCCGACATCTGTTTGTCTATAAAGCACTGAATGGTCAGTTTAACATCGAAGAAGCTCAAACTCTAAAATTGCATCTAAAAACTTATCAAACCATGCCCTCGGTGACTGTTGTAAACCATACAAAGATTTCTTTAACTGACATACATTATTACCGTACTCCGCCTGAGCAATAAACTCAAGTGGTTACTCCATGTATACCTCTTCAACTAAGTCACCATGTAGGAAAGCATTCTTCACATCTAACTAAAACGGGCCAATCAAAATTAGCAGTCAAAGAAATCAAGATACAAACAAAAAAGATTTTGACAACAAAACGGGCTTTTAGACGCTCCATAAAACCATTCGGATTAAATTTAGCAATATACACCCAACAACAACCAACAATTCGTTTACCAAGAGATAAAGAAACAAGATCTCAAATCCTATTATGATGTTAAGCATCCATTTCCTCCATAACTTTCCTCTAACCTGGATTAGACAACGCATCCTATAAGTACTTAAGGATAGAGACAATAGATAATTAAGAGGTAAAATAAGAGAAGACAGGAGACAAGATATTATATGAAACAAAATAAGCAATGAGATGATTAGTAACACATGAACGAGTACTTTTTCGAAGAGCAATAGGTAAAGAGTCTAAATTACCTGATGGACCAGGATCACGAGACGGCAAGGAAGACAGTCCGTACATATCAGTAGATGGTCAAGGACGACAAGAGAATATACAAAGTGGTGAAGAAGATGGTAGCACAGTAAGTAGAGGAATATCTGACGGTGAGATAAGAGGTGGCGGTATAGGAGACGATCTAAAGTCCAAATCCAAAGGCTGAGTAGGTATCAGAAAATATAGAACAGATTCTTCAAACATGACATCAGAACTAGTAAAGTATCGACAAAGAGAAGGACTATAGTAACAATACCCCTTCTGTGTACGGGAGTATCCAAGAAATACATATTTGATAGCCCGAGGGTCAAGTTTATCAAACTCAGAGCTCGAGTTATGAACATAACAAACACACCTAAAAACCCTATAAGTTAAGGAAAATATGGGCTTACTAGAAAAAATGATAGAATATAGACTTTGCTCCTTGAACACAGAGGATGGCATACAATTAATAAGATGACAAGCAGTGAGAATAGCATCACTCTAAAAAATCAAGGAATATTTATCTGAAATAACAGTACACGGGTGACTTCTAACAAATGACAGATCTTGCGTTCAACAACACCATTCTGCGAAGAGGTGTAAGCATAGGAAATCTGATAAATAATATCAAAGTCAAAGTAATATAGGCCACCAACTTTATACCCCGTAATAATCTTTCTCTTCGTCTTAAGATCATAAAATACACAATAAGAGGGATAAAAGATTACGGAACAATTAAGGGAACGGGTAATCTTGCTAATGGAAGGTAAACTAAAAAAAAACTAAGAAATAAATAACACGAAGAATAGGGATATATCAGGACTCAAGTGAGTAGTCCCTAAACCTGAAACTTTAAAACAAGTACTATTAACAAGAGTAACACTATGTGTGGAAATAACTGACTGATAAGTAAAAAAGATATTAGACGCACCAGTTATATGGTCAAAAGCACCAGAGTCTATGATCCAAAGATTACGAGTAGAGAACAATAAATAAGTGAGAGAGGTAACTGACTAGGCAAAAGTAGCAAGTGGAGGAAGATGGAATAGTCTATTGCTAAGATAGGAACTAGGCATACTCCTCTATTGTAATAGTAACTGATCCAAAATCATGTGGTGCTGACCGAGGTATAAAAGCAACACCCAATGTGCCATCCAGATAAGAGACCTGCTTAACAACACTAGATGGCTTTTCATGTAAATCCCAACAAAAAATCAACAGTGTGCCCTCCAAGACCACTGTGAATACAGGAACGAGTTCACTACGGCCCCCACGACTTTCAATATGACCTCCCCGACCTGCACGATTACCATGTCCACTTCGATGACCATCATTGTGGCTACTAGGAACCACAAAAGCTGAACAGTCAATGGAAATACCATGATCAATGCCTGAATGACTAGTAGACAAAGTAGCACATCGTAAATGGGAAAAAACTCAAGTAGAGAAAGAAGACTAGAGCTACCAAAAATCTGAGAATGAATAGACTCATATTCAGGTTTCAAACCTACCAAAAATCGAACAACGTTCAAATTCTCATGTTACTTTTGTCAAACCGCTACATTAGTAGTAAACGGATGATAGAGCTTCAACTCCTCACAAACTCCTCGAACGTAAAAGTAATAATCCTCCAGACTCAGAATACCCTGCTCCAAGCAGAAATACCATTTGCACACCTCATAAGCACTAGTAAAATTACCTATACCCAAATACAGAGTGGACAAATGATCTCATATGTCTTTGGTAGTATCAAGATAGAGCAGAATAGAGCTAATACTGGGCTCAATACTATTCAACAGTAAAAAGATAATCTGAGCATCCTTTTATTCCCACTGATCATACCCAGAAGTATCCTCCTTGAATTTAGAATTCACCAAATATTTCTTAAATCCTTTGCCAATAATAAAGACTTGAACAGATCGTAACCATAAAATATAATTGGTCTCGTTAGGCTTAACAGAAGTCATGGGACTATTAAGGAGAACCGCGGAAACAGAGATAGGTGGCAATGATAGAGTAAGAGCGGTAGCATCATGCTTGGGTTCTATAATAGTGTGGCAAATAGTAAAAAGGACTTACTAGACAGCTGAACCAAGCAAGGGTCCGATGCTGAACTGCTGAACCGGACAAGGGGATGTCATTGGACAGCTGAACTAGACAAGGAGAGCTCGTTGGACTATTGAACCAGACAAGAGAAGTCTGCTAACCGCTGAACCGAAGAAAAAATAGATGGAACCAGTGTAAAACTGACTGAACTGGGACTGAACCGATGCAAACTCATTGAACTGGGTCTGAACTGGTGCAAAGCTGACTCACCCACACTGAACCAGGGTTGAACTAGACTTGGACCGGTCTAGTTTGAAGGCTACTGGATCTGGGTTAAATCTCCTGGACCTGGACCTGAACCTAGACCTAGATCGGATCTAGATCTGGACCTGGATCTAGATTTGGGCATGAGAATAGTTTAAGCCCGTGGACTTGGATCTATTACCCAAACTTACAACGAACCTAGTTATCGTGGATCATCTTCTTTACTAATTAGGGTTTCAACCAAACTCAACTTCTTCCTTCAATGTCGACAATGCCAAGAGAACAACCAACGGCCACACCAGTTGACAGCGCTAAGAAACAACAAGTGGCTACACCACCACAGAAGTCATCAATGTCGATGACCAATAGGCACACCACCACGAAGGAGAACCAGAAACCACCAACATCGACGGCGCCTCACACCCAACCGCAACTACCACCAACCACCACAATGAGGGACTGCGACAGCAACACCACACCACCACAACGATGGGTCACCACACAACTGCGAACAACAGCGATAACACCCCACCCCGAGGACTTCAACAATAGCCACACCTGACAACTTGGGTTAATATTTGTATTTAGAATCGTTTTGCTCTTATACTATATTAAGTTAAGAGAATTAACACAACATTAGAGAGAAACGGAGAGTAGACAAATCTTAACCTACCTCTCACAAACCACTTGTATTTATATTAAACTTGTAATAATATAAAAAACGTATATACCGTCTAATATTTACACATAATAGCCTAATACTCTTAACAAAGAGTAAAGATTGAGTAAGTCAAAGTTCGCTAGTCCCATGTATTGACCGAAATGAGCCATCAACAAATACAATACGTGAGTTAGAGGAACAAAAATTAGAGAACAAGAAAAAATTACCAAACATATGAGCACTAGCTCCTGAATCAATGATCCAAGATGACGAAGAAAGTTAGGCAACCACACATGCAGAGTTGCCTTCATTAGCAAGACCAGTAGTATGAATAGATAATGTGGAGAAAGTAAAGATAATTGCTGGATTTGCTGATGAAGCTGGGAAGAAAGATCATCATGAGAATCAGTACAAGATGTCACTAGATCATTAGAGGTTATCTGATGTACCAAAAAGCCCAAAGTATCCTTAAGAATGTGATTAGCATATTTGGGTCTCCCATAATTGGCCCAACACCAATCTTCAATAAGTCCCCACTACCACAATAAGTACACTTCTACACAGAATGATAATAATGGCCAGAACTACCACCATATCCTCCACTCAAAATCGTCATGGAGAACCCATAAAGAATTATGTAGGGTCAAACCAACAAATTCCACAATCAACCTGATAATCTGCCAATCACACAAAATATGGCCAAATTGAACCACAAACAAACTCAAGTACAACCCACAAATTAATAAGAATAATAATAATAATTAAAACAGAGGCCCGAACTGTTCTTCACTCTTCATCCCTTGAAATAGCAAGCTGGAGTACCACCAGGGTGCACAAAAGAGGGTCTAAAACAACCCTAGAAAACTGGGCAGTACAAGGGCTTCTTCTCATACTCAAATTGGTACCCAAAAAGCCTGATCCAAGCAACAAACCACCAGTGTGTAGCCACTAAAACAAAAACAGTAGGATGAGTCACCAACGAGTTCAACAAGCCACGAAAAACTACTCCAAAGGAAGCAATTTGCAAAACAACTCAAGCTGGAAGGCAACACACTGGCTGAAAGCACACCACAGATCAACCAGAAAGCCAAACGAGAAGAAACAACAAACTGTAGCAGAAACTGAATCCTGGACAGCCTCCTACAGGCCACAGCCAAAACACCCACAAGCACCAAAATCATGTCCACACCACTAAAAAATTACTGGGCAGCACACAGGATCTACCCAAGTCCAAAACGCACCTATCTGGTGCAGATCGAAGCGAAGAAACTCCAAAATTTGGCCAAAATCAACACATACGACCCAATTTTTCCAAAAAACATTCAAAAATAGCAAACCCTGTTTAGATGTTTTCAAAAAAATTAAAAAAAAAAAAATCACCATAGAAGTTCGAGCCTGGGGTTGGTGCCTGGTGTCCGTACAATGATGATGTCAGCATGATGTCATCCCTGTTAGGGTCGTCAGCAAGCACGGAAAAAAACTACAGTGTTCTATAATGTTTTTTTGATAATATTGGGTGTTGAATTAGTGCTCTGATACCAAGTTTAAATTTTAGATACAGTGTTAGGATTCGTAAAAAAGAAGAGAAGATGCAAGAAAAAAAAGAGAAGGAAGGGAATAAACTGTTGCGTAAGCTATGCTGCCCTACACGCTCTCATTGATAGTAAACTAATATTATGAGAATTACAATATTTCCCTACACTACTAATAATATAATATGAACAACAAGAAACACCAAACCATCACTGTGGAAACTTGTTGAGTTTCGCAACTGGACAACGTTAATAGGCAGTACCTCATTATTCCTCAATGCTTCTATAAATGACATTCAAAAATAGCTAACCCTATTTAGATGTTTTCAAAAAAATTAAAAAAAAAAAATCACCACAATGATCACCATAGAAGTTCGAGCCTGGGGTTGGTGCCTGGTGTCCGTACAATGATGATGTCAGCATGATGTCATCCCTGTTAGGGTCGTCAACAAGCACGGAAAAAAACTACAGTGTTCTATAATGTTTTTTTGATAATATTGGGTGTTGAATTAGTGCTCTGATACCAAGTTTAAATTTTAGATACAGTGTTAGGATTCGTAAAAAAGAAGAGAAGATGCAAGAAAAAAAAGAGAAGGAAGGGAATAAACTGTTGCGTAAGCTATGCTGCCCTACACGCTCTCATTTATAGTAAACTAATATTATGAGAATTACAATATTTCCCTACACTACTAATAATATAATATGAACAACAAGAAACACCAAACCATCACTGTGGAAACTTGTTGAGTTTCGCAACTGGACAACGTTAATAGGCAGTACCTCATTATTCCTCAATGCTTCTATAAATGACATTCAAAAATAGCTAACCCTATTTAGATGTTTTCAAAAAAATTAAAAAAAAAAAAAATCACCACAATGATCACCATAGAAGTTCGAGCCTGGGGTTGGTGCCTGGTGTCCGTACAATGATGATGTCAGCATGATGTCATCCCTGTTAGGGTCGTCAGCAAGCACGGAAAAAAACTACAGTGTTCTATAATGTTTTTTTGATAATATTGGGTGTTGAATTAGTGCTCTGATACCAAGTTTAAATTTTAGATACAGTGTTAGGATTCGTAAAAAAGAAGAGAAGATGCAAGAAAAAAAAGAGAAGGAAGGGAATAAACTGTTGCGTAAGCTATGCTGCCCTACACGCTCTCATTGATAGTAAACTAATATTATGAGAATTACAATATTTCCCTACACTACTAATAATATAATATGAACAACAAGAAACACCAAACCATCACTGTGGAAACTTGTTGAGTTTCGCAACTGGACAACGTTAATAGGCAGTACCTCATTATTCCTCAATGCTTCTTCAAAAAGAGTAACACTTTCATTTGGGTCATATGATTCCAATTTGACTGAGACTTCCCCATCATTAGATTGCTTTCTCCATACATGAATTTGAGGCTGCTTTTTCCACTTGAATTCAGGGTTTGGCAACATTTCATATATTGATGGGCACTCAACCAACTACACATGTAATTGGATTTAAGTCATTCACAATGAAACAGACAAATAAAGGGTAGTCACACACACTGTCTAATTTGATGAAGACAGTGCTACAGTGTCAGATTTGATAACTTACAGCATGCAATGTGATGAAATAAAATCAGATAGTCCAACATTCAACCTATTGATCAAACAAAGTAGACTAAAATTGGAATTTCACTTCTACCAACCTTCAAGAGGGCTTTATATAACTTAAGGCACTCTCTGATGACCTTAGGTTACGAATTCCAAATTGACAATGCAGTTTTATCAGCTTGCTTCACTTTATCAAATGAATGCAACACATTCTCTTCCCATTATTTTGTTTTCAAATAATTACTATTTTGCAGCGCCATTTTAATACTTGTCTACCTCAAGATCTGCTGGTTCTGTTTTCCATTAAAGAAGCTGGTGTCAAGGAGAAAGATGGACAGCGTGGTTCCTACTCCCATTTAAATTTGCAACTGTCTAATTAGCCCGTGCTTAATAACGTAAGATTACTTACAAGCTCTCAACTCACATTCTTCTAAACCAATATCATCACTCATTAAAGCAGTTCAGATTTTCAATTATTCCCACATGTCACATATGTGGGTATAATTGAAGCTTTATCAATCATTGATCAGACATAGGGGTAAACCCTTTTGAACGCATGCTTATAATTTTTTATTCAAAAAAAAGCCTCATTCATTAAACCGAGGAAGAAGAACAAGCATGAAGAATGTGACATCCTTTTTATTAACACAAAAAGACAGGCTGACAAATACAATTGGAAGAATGAAGCACAAGCAAGAACTAGAAGACACGTGTTATTAGCCTTCTAGACCCCATCCTAGTTGCAGTTTGTTATACGCCTTTGCTTCATACCAAAACTACTTTGATTAGAAGAATTACCAATTGATGCATCGTCCACCTTGACACAAAAAAGTAGCTTTCGAATCCTTCAACAAATTGCAATCCAGTTAAGAGAGAATCATTGATGCATCCTGGTGAGCCTATTTGGCATACATAAGAATAGGTGTCTGAGAGTTACAACACACAAAGATAAACAAATGACAACTGAAAACACCAAAAAGCTTAAAATGTGCAACGGAATCCTCCAAGCCACACTGTGGAACTACTTTTGCTAACTAATGCAAAGGATATTAGAAGACAAATTCATATGCATTCCTGTACCACTTTCTGTTCATTATGATCATATCAATTTTAATTGAGAATTACTTGAATTAATGTGCTTGTGTGCATTAACATACTATTGAGACAGAAAACAACCGAAAAACCTACCATATGCACTGAAATTTTTCACCAGTAAACTTTGCACATTTTAAACTGCATAACAACTCTACAAGTTCCAATGCACAATGTGGTAGTTTCAATTGTTAGGGCATACAACCCAAAATCAATTGGCAATGGGTGGAGTGGCCCCTCGAGTACATACACCAACCTTAATAGTCTTAATTATTCGATGTGGAATACAAGCTCTCTTAAAACCCTCCCTCACGTGGGACTCGGTCTCAACCTTGGGGTTAACAAATGAAGAAACAAACAATCATGTATACTGGAAAATTCAAATGGGTAATAAATTTGGTCTACTCACCACCCAAGGCCCAGCTCTGATACCATGGTAGAGCATTCAACTCAAACCCAATTGGCTATGAGTGGAGCAGCCCCTCAAGTATATAAACTAACTTTGGCGGTCCTAATTATTCAATGTGGGATATAAGCACTCTTAACACCAATCATGCTGCAAGGTCTCCGTGTAAGCACCATAAAGCATCACTGGATGCCTTGTAACATTTAGTTTTCTGGTCTTCTAAATAAAACAAATGAAGAATACTAAAGGAAATGAGAGTAAACTTAATCATCAAATATGTATTATTCGTTAATTCCAGAACTTTCAGCTTTCAGAAAAGTTTTCTGACTGACTTTCCCAAAATGGAAGTGAACAACTCTTTTTCTGTTCATTATTCCGCCAGCAGAACACCCCTGCATTCTGACTCCTTGAAAAAATGACGGGAAAATGATTACAACAATAACGCGAAGAAAAAAGATGATTTTTATGGCACTCTCACTCCAACATAACCTCTTCCATGCAAACTATTGTATTGGTTTGTGATTAATAGCAACCAAAATCAATTGCAAACCAATGTTCTCTTATAATACCATGCATGCTTTCCTGGCTACACTGAATTAGGCAAACAACATTTTAGAGCAAAATAATGTTCTTACTCCAAACTAGAAATGAATAGCAAGTATGCAAACATGGTGCAGAGAATATTACCTTGAAAAGGGCACGCAATGCTAATCCACTTATTCACGTACTCAGCAAACACCTGCCAATGAACGGTTTACATCACTGGTCATGATGCTTCTTATGGCACAAATCTCCATAGTTCAATAATTCAACAAGTCACCAGGAGAAGTTATGCACACATCGTTATGGAGTGACATGAAACATGACAGTAGCAATCCACCCATTGAGTGTGAAATTATATTGACTTTTCTTCCCCCCGAAGCTTTATAGGCAATCTCCAACTTTTCTTTAAGGCCATTCAGCGCCTTGTCAATTCTGCAACCCCACAACAAACAGGGTGCTCAGATTAATGCAGTTTCACAAGAAACGAACGCCAGGAAACTCTGAAAACAATATTGTTGTATCAGGTGAGCAACCTTTGCTTACCAGCGGCTTTACTTAAAGATCAAAGTAAGTGAATTTCAAGCACTAGAAATTTCAGCTGGTGCAAATGAATTACCTATTGCTTTGCCGGAAATCATAGCCATATCCAAACAATGTGGTTCCTTTCTTGTACCCACATCCAACAAGCATATCAATCATATCATGAAAGTGGTATAAATCGGTCAAATGTAAGCATTTTACCCACTGGAACATCAAGAAAATACATATAATAAATATAACTTCCACAAAACATAAATGATAAAATAAGGAAAAAAAAAACCCTTTTGAGTTCAAAGTAATTAAGAAGCTCCTAAAATCTTAAAAACAATTATCATTCAGATGATAACTTGATTACATTTATTTCAAATCTGTTAAGCAAACAAAGATCTTATCCACTGGAACATCAACAAAATATAGGTATACATACGAAATAGTTCATATCGATCAACAAATAGTTATCCTTATACAGTTTACCCACTAACACATCCACAAGATAAATATATTCCTGACAGTGTTACCACACATGAAATAGAAAATAGGTAAACAAATCTTATGAATACAAAATAATTGAGGCAAAGTGTCATTTTCACATGATAAGTCCGGCATAGCAATTTCACATTGGTTAAGCAAACAGAATGTCTGGCATTCCTTTTTTCGGAGAAAATTTATGAATTTAAGTGAGGTCTACAGAGATAGTGGACAAGAAATCCACTCTTAGAAGAAACTAAAGAAATTACACAAGTGCACGACCAACACTAAACGCCACAACTCACAATGCCATTCCAACTTCGATTGATAAAAAATAAAGGAATGCCCTGCATTCAAATTTTGTAATCACTCTTACAATTATAGTATGTGCGCGTGTGTCCCAAAGTCTAGCCTACACATGAGTGCATGTTATGAAGTGCACAAGTATCTAGGTTGTACCCACTTAACTAGCTTTAGCTTTGGGAGTAATTAAGGGCACATGATTAACTAGTTTATCATTTGTTTGTTCGACAAATGCACTTTTTTATAGTCTGATCATTGCTATCTTTTATCAATCTCTCCATGTGCAAGTGGAGGTCACATGTACTACAAGTATTAAAGTTTAGCCAGTAATGGTATTTAACAGCTCCCAAACTAGAATATGAACCCCGTAAACATCCCCACTAATTACCAATTAGTTTCAAGTTGTGCACCTGAACTAAAAATACCATTGAGGCATCTACCTTCATTTTTATCACTTTCAATTTGAAAATGTTGAGATAATTTCATCAAAGTAATCGAGAACATAGTTATTTAATGCAAGAAAGTTGATTTATGAAGATTTTATATATTGCTAACAAAAAAGTATCCGGGCATCTTCGGGCAATCGACTAAAGTTGATATAGCCAGAAAATTCTTAAAAGAGTTCACTAGGAAAAAAAAATAGCTTTGCCCCGGTTATTGGACTTTCTTGTCTTTGTTTGAATGTTAACAATTGAAACTCAAATAATTAAGTATTAGGGTTTTAAGTTTAGGAGAAAGAGAAAGAGATTGAAAACTCTAATGCTCCCACTCAAGCTGGAGCATAATGATAAAAAATACCCTATTTGGAGCAAAGATTATTGAAGATACTAGAAATATTTGTGATTGCATGGGATACTCAAACTAAGAGTAGAGCCCCATATATATGGTCAAATAATAATACAAAGTGACCTAAACATCCTTGTATTCTAGGCAAAATATAAAAGTCATAATAAGGGTAAAAAAGGAAAAAAAATCCTAATAAACTAAACTATACTCCAACACTCCCCCTCAAGGTAGGAGCAAAAATATTAACTAAACCAAGCTTGACAACTGAGTCCTGGAGAATGGATAGACTGACAGATTTGGTGAAAACATCTGCAACCTGATCACTGATCCCCACAAACAATGGAGTGGCAATACCACAACAAACCTTCTCCCGAAGAAAGTGAACATCAATCTTTATATGTTTTGTCCTCTCATGCAATACAGAGTCAGAAGCAAGCTGAATATCAGATCGATTATCACAATATAATGTAGATGAAGAAGTCACTAGAAATCCCAACTCGCCAAGAATCGATCGTAATCAAATAATCTCACATGTGCCAAGCGCCAGTGCCCGATACTCCGCCTCTGTTGACGAACGAGAGATAACTGCCTGCTTCTTGCTCTTCTAAGAAATAAGATGAGTCCCTCAAAAAACACAGAAGTCCGTAGTGGATCGACCGTCACCTGCTCCCCCATAATTTGAATCTGAATAACAGGCTAGAGAACCAATCTGAGATCTTGATGCATAGAACAACCCAAGTCTAGGACAAGATTTGAGGTACCGAAGAATATAATAAACTGCATCAAGATGAAGCTGACACGGCCTGTACAAGAACTAACTAACTCGGCTGACAACAAATGAAATGTCTGGCCTGGTGTTGGCTAGATAGATAAGTCTACCTACCAACCTCTGATAGACAGTCGGATCTCTCAGTTCCTCATCATCAGCAGTAAGCTTCAGGTTTGGAATCATGGGTGATGATGTCAGTTTGCACCCCAGCATCCCAGTGTCTGAGAGAAGATCTAGGACATACTTTCTCTGAAAAGGAACAATACCCCTGCTGCTACGGATAACCTCAATTCCAAGAAAGTATCGCAAAAAACCAAGGGCCTTCACATCGAATGCCTTTCCAAGATCTACCTTGACCTGCGCAGTCCCAGAAACATCATCTCCAGTAATAATAATATCATTAATATATACCAAAAGAATGACACTGTCCAGAAGTATTCTATCGATTCAAGCAGGTATGATTAGAATAACATCTGGTGAACCCTAAACGTACAACTACACCACTAAAGCGAGAGAACCAGGCTCGTGGTGACTATTCAGTCCATATAGAGACTTACGCAGTCAACATACTTTTCTAGCATACTCCCCCTCACCATGAAAGCCCGGTGATGCATCTATATAAATAATCTCATCCAAATCACCGTGAAAAATGCATTCTTCACATCCAACTGATGAAGAGGCCAAAAGTACTCCGCAGCCAGAAAAATAATCAATCGAACAGTAGTCAATCTTGCCACAGGGGCAAAGATAGCACCAAAATCACGACCCGGTACCTAAGTAAATCCTTTCGCGATAAGCCTAGCCTTGTAACCATTAATAGTACCATCTGCAAGAAACTTCAGGGTGAAAACTCAGTGACAGTCAACAGGCTTCACCCCTGAAGGTAAAAAGACAAGATCCCACATATGATTACGTTGAAGAACGTCCATCTCCGTCTGGATGGCAATAACCCACTGGGGCTCCTACATAGCTTCTGAAACATAGCAAGGAACTGACGTATCTGATAAGGCCATACTCTAAGCTCGAAATGTAGGAGACAAATCATCATAAGAAACATAAGCAGAGATCAGCTATAAAGTCCTAGCAGTCCAACCATAACGAACAACTGGACGACGATCACGCTGCGGATAACGACGTCCTAAATCATCATCATCCACTGACAACGTCTCATCAGACAAAGTAACTGGCTCAGTACCTGCAATCTCATCAGTATTAACAATAGGTGCATCAATATGCTCAATGAACTGAGAAATATTACCTGCATTGCCTGAGGTAGAGGAGACATCAGCAGAGGGATGAGAACGAGGGCGACGAACATAAACCTACAAAGGAAGAGAGATTGGTACCTCTATACTGACAGGGATGAATGGCTCTGGAGGAGAAAAGACTAATAACTCTGTAGTGATAGTGACCAATGGTTCTGGCTCTTGTGGTAACGAAAAATCAAAAGGAGTATCATCAACTGGAGGGGCAGACACAGGACTGGAAGAAAAATAAGGAATATGCTGAAGGAAGGTAACATCTAAACTGTGATACATACGTTGCCTAATAGGATCATAACACCGATACCCCTTAGACTGATGACAATAACCCACAAAGACATAACAAATCGCTTTATCATCAAGTTTATGGCGAGTAGGAGACCGATCCTAAACAAAACATGTGCAGCCAAAAATACGAGGGGGGATCGGAGAAAGTGTTCGCTCAGGAAATAAAACTTGTAAGGGAACCTTATACTGAAGAACACGACTCGGTGTACGATTACACAAAAAGGTAAAAGTTAAAATAGCAAAATGCTAATAAGATTTTGGTAACCCCATACCTCTAAGCATACAACATACCATCCCTATCAGACTCCTATTTTTCCTTTCAGCAACTCTATTTTGTTCAGAAGTATATGGACAAATGAACTGTTGAAAGATACCCTGAGAAGAAAGGTGAGACACTAAGGCATCAGACACATATTCTTTGGCATTATCCGAACGAAGAGCATGAACAATGACATTGAATTGTGTCTTAATCATCTGGAGAAATTGAGTGATGACAGAGAGTACATCCGACTTTCTATGCAAAAAGTAGACCCAAGTACAACGGGTATGATCATCTATAAATGTCACATAATATCGAACACCTGACAAAACAGTAACAGGAGAGAGTCCCCAAATATCAGAGTGTATTAGGTCAAATGGTTTGGGTGACTGATGCATGCGAGGAATATAACTAGTCCGAACATATTTTGATAGAGAACAAATAACACATTTAAGTTTCACACTTACATAAGCTTTGCTCAAAGCAGGAAATAACATAAATAAATATTTAAAATTTGTATGCCCAAAACGGTCATGCCACAACTGAACAGTTTGTGATGAAAAATCATAACGATAAGTATTAGGTAAAATACTAGCATGAAAGCTAGGAACAGATAAAAACAAAACAAGTGATGAAAGTGAAGGTGGAGAAACTGGTGAAACCGGAGGTGAATCGCCTAGATAATACAGTTCATCTCTCTCATGTCCCCTGATAATAATCCTCCTGGTACTCAAGTCCTGCAAATAACACGAATCAAATAAGAACACAACTGCACAGTAAAAATCTCTGGCTAACTGATGTACAGATAATAGATTCATGGCCAGCTTTGGCGCATGAAATACCGAACGTAATGTAAAGTCATCTGGGAGGCGAATTGTACCCCTACTAACAATAGGGGCATATGTACCATCTGCTAACTGAACTTGAGTATGTCACTACTCGTCAAAAGAGGTGAAATGATGGGCCTCACCTGTCATATGACCATTCGCACCCGAGTCCAACATCCAAAGGGGAGACGGACTGATGCAAATATGAAAGGTACGAGGCATACCTATAGTAGTCACAACAGTAGTAATCGAACCTTGAGAAGTCAAGGCTGACATAAGTATATCCAAACGAGAAGTGATAGCATCCATATCACTCTGCCAAGGAGAAGCAGTAACAATAGTAGCAGGAGTAATGACTGTAGGTGGTGGTGCCTCAGCAATGGCAACAGTATGACTGCAAGGAGGCGGCTTAAGCTCTGGACGGAGCTTCCAACAAGCAGCCTTGAGATGTCTTAGTCGGCCACAATAATCACACTGACGAAAATTCTCATGTCTACGCTGTTGTGGGGTACCCTAACGGCGTTGGGCCGAGCACTGTCAACCCCTATACCCGGTTGAAGTACTAACAGATGTCTCAACGGTAAGGGTCTCAACTCCCTCAATAATAGTCATATCATCAACAACACTAGGGCACTTGTGACAAAAAATAACTCTAAGATAAATAGAGAAACAAAATAAGGGAGAACAATATACCTCCGGTCGAACTATAACGACAAATAAAAAAAGTCTAAAAAACTCCCAAATAATTAGGTCACGATGCCCAGAAATCCAATAAAGATAAATAAGTGATCTACCGCATCAAAAGCATATCAACGGAGAAGAGGATTCAATCCCTCTTAAAAGGTAATACAGTCTCAAATAATTTCGCCCACGAAGACAAAACACGAAGAGGCAGTCACGAAGGCAAAACACAAAGGCAAAATAATTTGGTCCCAAATGGTTTGGGTTGCTGACCTTATGTTTGATATTGTTGACTAGTTCTGCAGCTCACTCCTCCGCTTCATATAGTTCCACTATGAGCTCAGAGGAGAATCGAAAAATGAAGTTGACTCCGAGAGAGGTGGAAAAACTAATGCTCCACAACGCTGGATTCCTAGCACAGAAACGTCTGGCTCGTGGCCAATGGCTCAATCATCCTAAAGCCGTAGCACTTATAGCAACACAAATTTTGGAGTTTGTACGTGATGGTGAGAAGTCTTTTGCATACTGTGCAGATTGAGGTTGGTGTAGCTTATTGATTTGTCGGCAGTGTATTTTCGGTGATGGGCTCAGTATTTGTGTTGAATTATCGGCACTGTGACAAAGAGGCAGTCGGCTTCGAGTTTCACATCGGGTTCATTAGCGGCAGTCAGCTTCGTGCTTATATGCTTGGCAATTGAAGAAGCAGTCAGTGGCTTGAATGCTGTCGGTTGGTTATGGGCAGTGTATTATAGGAGTTGTCAGTGTGGTTTATGGGCAGACAATCTCTGTCAGTGAGTGTTTCTGGTTCGCTGTTTGATGGATAGTGCTGTGATGTATTGATGGTTGTTATGTTTTGGGGTGTTAGGGTTAGGGTTAGGGTTAGGGTTAGGATTGGTGGCTCTGATACCAACTATAAATATTTGTGATTGAATGGGATACTCAAACTAAGAGTAAAGCCCCATATATACAGCCAAATAATAATACAAAGTGACCTAAACATCCTTGTATTTTAGACAAACTATAAAAGTCATAATAAGGGTAAAAAAGGGAAAAGAAATCCAAATAAAGTAGATTATACTCTAACAAAGATAAATCGAGCCAATAGTTTGGTAAGGATGTCACCTAGTTGATCGCTAGAGTTGATGTATGGTGTAATAATCTCCTTTCGTATCACGAGATTTCAAATAAAATGACAATTCACTTCGATATGCTTAATTCCCTCATGAAATACCGGATTATTGGCAATGAAAATAACTGTCTGGTTGTCATAGTGCATCTACATAGGAGAGGGCACATTAATACCTGTATCATGAAGTAGAGAACGAACCCTTAACATCTGACATGCACTATACACCATGGCCTGCTATTCAGCTTCTACATTCGAATGTGCAGCTACATTATGTTTCTCAGTGCGCCAAGTAACAAGATTACCACTGATAAATATAAAAAAATTCGAAATGGATCGTCCATCAACACAACTACCAGCCTAGTTAAAATCAGAAAAACCAGCAATAGTCATGGATGATGAAGGACGATATAATACTCTTTGCCCGGTGCTCCTTTCAGACACCAAAGAATGTGAAAGACAGCCTCCCAATGAGGCTTACAAGGAGCGTGCATGAACCGATTAACCACACCAATCGCATAGGTAATATCAACACTTGTAACTATGAGATAAATTAGCTTAGCAACTAACCTCCAATAACGTCCTACATTATCAAAAACTTCACCACTCTCACCATCTAACTTAACTGTAAAGTCCATAAGAGTGTCTGGACATGCACCAAGAGTACCAATTTCAGACAATAAATCCAATACATACTTCTGTTGACACAAACTAAGAACAACTTATATCCCAAGAAAGTACCAACGAAGACCTAAGTCTTTGGTATGAAATTGTTTCGCCAAATCATCTTAAAGTGGTATCAACATACACAATAAGAATAATAACACATGTTGAAAAACGATGAATAAAAATTGAATAATAACATAGAGCACTAAAAACCATACTAAAGTACAACAGTACTAAACTTATCTAACCAAGCGCGTGGTGATTGTTTCAAACCATATGTTATTTTCTTCTAACAACACACTAATTGTTCCTTACCAGATGTAACATAATCTAAAGGTTGTACCATAAATACCTCCTTCTGTATATCTCCATATAAAAAGACATTCTTAATGTCCAACTGATACAAAGGTTAATCACAACTAACTACAACAAAAATAAGAACTCTAACAGAGTTAAGACGAGTAACATGGGATAAAGTCTCAAACTAATCCACACCATATGTCTGGGTGTAGCATTTAGCAACCAGACGTGCCTTCAAATGCTAAACTTAACCTATGTCCAATTTTCATGAAGGGTTTTCACTTCCTCATCTACAGTCAGTTTTCAACCAAGAGATATCAATGCTTGTTTCAAGAAACTAGAAACAAACACACAAGACAAAGTTGGTGCAAAACAATGAAAGATAAAGAAAGACAATGTAAAGAAACAAAATTAGAAGTGGGATGCTTAGTATAGTTTCATGTATCTTTGAACTAGCTGATGGCTCAAAGGGTAGGACCCCAGTAGAATCAGGCGCTAATTGTGGAGCTGGAGCAAATGTAACACCCTGTCAGTTCTTGGAACAGCGATAAACCTCTAAGGGAGGAGTAATAACCAAGGAGAAAGAAAATACATAGTGGCACACTAGGTACACAGTTTCATACAACTGGCAACAAGAACTCTCCAGACCGAGAAAAATTAAATATGGGAAAAGAGTATGTCCCGACGCAAAAGCCAAGAAAGTTGACTCAAAAAAGGTAACATCAACACTGACATAATATCGACGAGAAACAAGGTCATAGCAGCAACAACAACCTTTTTAAATTTGAGAATATCCCAAAAAAATATACTTGATCAAGCATAGAAAAATTTTATCCTGATCCGAACTAAGAAGATGAACAAATAACATACAACCAAAAACACAAGGAGTGAAATCAAATGGCAGTTTATTAGGATAGAACAATGAAAAAGAAGACTTATTGTCTAAAATGGGAAAAGGCGTGTGTTTAATAACATAAACTGATGTAAGAACAACATAATATGGTTTTGGCTCATGCATATTGGTGTGGGCAACATCCAATAGATGATGATGTTTCCGTTCGGCAACACTATTTTATTGGGACGTATATGAACCGATGGTTTGATGGATAATACCACGGTCAGCACAAAAGGTTTTCATAAATGATTGAGTATACTCAAGGGTCTTATCAGACTTAAGAACTTTAATACGGATATCAAATTGAACCAGAATTTTATTATATAAAGTATTAAACACCTTAGGTAATTTAAATCGGTCTTTCATAAGAAATAAACAAATTATACGAGAGAAATCATCAAACAAACATTACAAAATACTAAAAATCAAAAATACTTTTGACTCTTGCAATACCCTAAATATCTGGGTGAACAACATGACAAGGACTCGACCGACGACTTAAAGAACTAGGAGGAAAAGAACAACAGTGATACTTGCCTAATTAACAAGCCTCACATTCTAATACAGAAGAACTCAAACCATGTGTAACCTGACGCAATTTTTTCAAGAAAGGATGATCAAATTAGAAGTGTCATTGAAGAGGAGACATGCTAATTGCCTAACACTTAGGGCAAGAACAATTAAAATATAAGCAGTAAATGGCATTGCTCTCATGTTGTAAACCAATCACCTTCACCTTGAGGTCCTGGAAAAGACAAGATGAATAGAACGTTACTGAAGAGTTTAAGGACCTCGTTAACTAACTCACTGATAATAAATTAAAAGGAAAATTAAGAACAAACAAACCAAAAATTAATGGCATAGACTGAGTAAGACAAAGATCGTCAGTCCCATGTACTGGTCGAAAATAACCCTCAACTAATACAATATGTGAGTTAAACGAATGAAAATTAGAAAATAGGAAAAGAATACCAGGGATATGAGCACTAGCCCCAAAATAGAATAATGAAGGAGGTTAAGCCATACTACATCAAAGTTACCTCTATTAGCAATAGAAATGAATAAATGTTTAGAAAGTAAAGATAACTGTGGGATGATTTGACCAAACTGAGAAGAAAGATTATCATGAGAACCAGTTTTACATGTAACTGGGTCATTGGTAGAAGTCTGATGTACTAGAAAATCTGAAGTATCATTAGAAGTTTGATTAACATATGTTGATCTCTTATATTTATCCCAACAATAATTCTTTGTATGTCATATGCCACGACAAAAAATACCATTTCATTCAAAGTGATGACCACAACTATGATGACGCCTCCACTACGTTGTGTGCATAGACCTCTACGACTGACAGAATGAGGCGCTGAAGTGAACCCACCACAGATCATCAACCACAATCAAGAACTCACAATCCATAAGCCAAAATAGGGCAAAACAACAACACTCTAAAGCAACCTGGAGAATAACAAAACATCTCCCCCAAAAAACAAGTCAAAGAAGTTGTTGTTCAAAGCAAATTTGCCCAAACCAACAAGAGGCAAAAGGAGCAAAACCCGTAGTTGAAAAAATGACCAGAAGACAAAAAAAAGTCAATGTCGACTAGTTCTTGAGACAAAAATCACCAAAAAAAAAAAACCAAAAAATAGAAGGGTCAATCACAAACAAATTCCATAGTTAGTCAAACCTTTATTTTCTGCAAAACTGCAAGCCAATCATCAACAATAAGGCACAAATAAGGACTATGATCATGAGATAATTGTAATCTCATTAGCTAAGAAAAACAATCACAACCAATGGAATTGAATAATCAGTCATAATAACTCCTCCAGACATGATTTAGGATCCCAAAAATTTCACACAACTAGTCAAAGTCCACAATGAGCAGTAACTCGCAATGAACAGTAGCCATGATGAACAGTGTCATTGTGAACAGTACCATTGTAAACAGTATTCGGGGATGAACAGTACAACGGTGAACAGTCCAGCAATGAATAGTGTGAAAAAAAATACAGAAAAGACAGGGAACGAATATAATAGATGCTCTAATACCAACTTAAAACTCAAATAATTAATTATTAGGGTTTTAAGTTTAGGAGAAAGAGAAGAGAGATAGAGATTGAGAAACTAATGTGTGTGAGTTATGTTGCCCTACACTCTTATTTATTATAAACTTATATTAAGGCTAATTACAATATTACACTCTACTACTAATAATATAAACTAACATTAACATTAGGGGAACACCTTTTAAGTGACCTTCACTATATCATATCTTTGATGGCTCACGGCTTTTATGATGCAAAATATAAAATTAGCATGTTCCCCTTTCACCCGCACCCTACAAGCATTCTTCTCACCCCAATGAACTATATGGTCTCTATGCCATCCAGAAATCCCATAATTGTCAACCGTGTATGTATGGAATGCTCCATATCCGTTTTCATGGACTTGCACTGCCATCAAATATTGAATTGTATGAAATGTAGCAGCAAAATTACAAAAATGGTAATGCAATATATATGTAGGAATTGCCGCTAGACTACATGTGATGGCAGGGTGTGCAGAACCAACAAAAAACTCACTATTGAAGGATCTAAAATATCAATGGCATAGAGCCCATAATCATCCTCAGGAACCAGGATCTCGATGCTATCATCCAATTGTTCTGTATAACCTATAAAACCCAAATCACACAACAATATCAAGTGAAACATCGTAACGGTATATGTTGGACAGTTGTAGAGACCGACAAACCCAAAAATACAAGCTTATCATACATATTTGGAACCAACTTCACCTGAAAGAATAAGCTGTGGTAGTGAGTCCACCAAATGCCATATATTTATATATAAGTCAATTCTTTTCCACATTACTCTTCCATTGTGGAATTTAACCCTCACATAAAATCTCAACATGATATCATAAAGAAACCAAGTCTAGTACTACTACTTTGGTGTGATTGAATTCATTCATCCATTCTGCTTATCTTTTTGTAATTTTCCAATTTTAAAATGAAAAATATACTGAAACTTAGAACTCAAAGATGTCATTTCCTCTGATTTTTTAAAATTGACAACCAAATTCTCATGTTCTTTTTTCTAGTCTTTTTCTCAGCTACCAAACCAGATTGAAAATAAAACACGCAATTTGTGCTACACGCGCTCGGAATGTGAGTGTGTGAAAGAGAGAGAGACCTGTCTTGGGATTATAGAGAGACCAGAGCTTCTTCCTGAACTCCAAATCAGCAAGAAGAATGCGGACCCAGACCCGGGTCTCGAACCCGAGCTTCTTTTTCTTTGAATGAAGAATGGACCCACCGATGCCGGAAACCAGAAGGACCGGGTCTCGATCGGAGACACTGTCTGCAATTGCGTCAGAGCTCCGGCCAAGGAAGCAACAGCAGCAATTCCCGAGCATGTTTTCCTGGAGTCCGATGAGGCTTCGGTTCGTACTTATGAGGACGGTGCCAGTGGTGGTGGTAGTTGTGCAGTTGGTCTGACGCTTTTGCAGAGTGCAAAAATGGACGATACAACGAAGCACAGTACAATAAAAATTTGCACGGTAGTCCTTCAATGTTGCGTCATTTTACAACTAAACCCACTTTTGTTGTATGCTCCTTAACCATTTGTACAACGATATTTAATTAATCAAGTTGTATTCGATTGACACGGATAGTCCGTGAACATAAAAATACAATGCTGGCACTGCTATTGTTTCAAGGTATTTTTAGAGTCTTTCAAAAAAGATGTTTCGATTTGTTTTGTCATATTTTTATTATTATTTTTGAATTATTTTAAAATATTTTTATATATTTTGAACAATGTTTCAAAATATTTTAAAAATAAATTCTCAATTTTCATTATTTCTATTATATTTTTAAATCTTTTTTAAAATTTTATCGAAAAATTTCTGTTTTTTAAGTGATCGAAATAATGCGCCAAATCAAATTTTTGATCTTTTTACTAGATTTATATGACATCAAAACTATGTAAAACACTTATAATGCTACTAGTGTTAAAAAATTTAAAAACATATAAATGTTTTTTTATATGATAAGAGTTAAAAGAGATTATCATATCAAAATTAAGTTATTGAAGTTTGATATTAATTCAACTTATTTATTATTTATATTAGTGAGTTGTGTTTTTTTCTGGTCGGTGACTAGCAAGATTGTTTTATGGAAAAATAGATTAGCATGGTCAAATTGAGAAGTAATTATATATTTGTATGTGCGCGACAGAAAGTCAAATTACTTGCAAAAGAAGGAATTTTAAAGCATCTAAATTGAATATTCTTAGGACCTTTTCTCAAAGGAGACCAAATCATTAAGAAGAGTGCAAAAGTTCAGAGGTTCAGGGAAATTGTATGAAACGCACCAGCAGAACGTGTATAAAATTATATGCCTCCCACCCACATAGTAAAGTCAAAACTATTCCGTTTGATTTTATTAATTTGGAGTAATGGGAGTGATGGCATGTGCAAATTATACATGTGAAATTTATTTTATTATGCTGCCCAAGTAATTTATCTATATAATAAAATAGTTTATAATTCAAATTTTGAAAGATAAAATAAAATGATTTTTGCTATTCGCGGTTAAGATCGTTTTAAATTTTACTTTAAAGTTAATCTAACGGCTAATATTAACACCCTAAATTTAATATATAAAATAGTTTTTAAAGATGTGTTTGGATTGACTTTTTTAAAGTATTTTTAGAAATTATTTCTCATAAATAATTTTAAAAAAATTGTGTTCGAAACTGCCCTACCACTACCTCTACCACCACCGCAGCCAATGTCGCCGTCTCCGCCGCCGCCTCCACCACCTTTGTCGTCGCTGCCACCGTTACTGCCACCACCGCCCCACCCCCACCACCACTGCCACTACCACTAGCACCGTCGCCACCACCCCCGCCACCATCACCACCGCAGCCACCAACATCGTTGCAGTTGAGATCGCTTTAAATTTTATTTTAAAGTTAATCTAATGACTAATATTAACATTCTAAATTTAATATGACAAATAAACCCCCAAAAGTGTGTTTGGAGTGACTTTTTAAAAGTATTTTTAAAAGTTATTTCTCATATATACTTTAAAAAAAAATAGTGTTTGGAATTGCCTTACCATTACCTCTAACACCACCACCCCCACCGCTCCACCACCACCCCCACCACTAGCACTACCACCCCACCATCATCACCACCACTACCACTTCCATCACCGGCCCACCACCACCGCTGTCGCGTCCTACCATCATCGCTATCACTGTTGCACCTTACCACCACCGCTACTGTCCCACCATCATCCCCACCACCACTCTCGTGACCATCACAACTACCACCATCCCCATGACTATCACAACTATCACCACCATCGCCAACCCACCACTACCACCCCCACCATCGTCGTTGTCTCACCTTCACCCCCACCCTCATTGCCCCACCGTGACCACCACCATTGCCACCCACCACTGATTGCTACCATCGTCGTTCATGACAATCATTTACTACCATCGTTGTCATTTTATTTTTATATTTATTATCATTACCACCATCATCTCATTACCACTGTCGCCCACCATCATCCCACTACCACTGTCGCTCATCGTCATCACCCATCACTGCAGTCACCCCATTGTCACCTACCCCCCAACACTCTTATCACGACACTCATCACACTGTTGCCTAAAAGCACCCATCAACACCTACCACCACCATCATTATTATCCACCACCACCATCATCATCCCACCACCACCACTACCAACCACCATCACCATCGTCCACCACTACCCACACCCACCACCGCCACCCGTTGTCACCCCATGATTGCCACTACCAGCATTGTCACTCAAAACCCACAACCACCATCACCATTGCCACCTACGGCTGCTACCACCATCACGGTCGTCGCCTTACCCATCATAACTATCATCGTTTCCCATCATCACCACTATTGCCCACCATCACTACCACCCTCACCCTCACTATAATCAGTACTTAATTTTTCTTATCTCTCCTCTTTGTTTGCAATTTGATTTTGGATGCGAATACAAATATGTCGACCATTTGGGAATAACTAGTATTACTATAAAATGTCAACAAAAATGAAAAATATATACTACTATAAAATGTCAACAAAAGTGAAAAATTTTTAATAGACTAAAATAACCTTCATAATACAACTAATACCAAAATTATACATTTTAGTTTTAATAAGAGATTTAAAATCTATACTCTAATGACTCTTGGGTATCAATATAAATTTAAATCTCTTCCTCTCTCTTTTAATGTGTTGATTAAAGACTTTTGGCTACAATAACATTTTCTTATATTGTTTATTAAGCTCTCAGTAATTAGTGCTTATCAATAGACTTTAATCGCTTAAGCAACTCAAACGTGCTAGTTTTTAAGAGGAGAGAGCAAAAAGTTAGTAAACTTCATATACTCTAGGGAGTTACTTAATCCTTCTAGGCCTCTTGGAGTTCTAATATTACTCTATTACTCTAGGGACAAGAAGTTGCATTTTATATATTATGCTAGTAGAGTTTTAAAAAATACACAGCTGAATTATGGGATTACTAAAAAAGAATTGTTTACTGTTATGCTTGCTTTTGACAAGTTTTAATCTTGTTTTGTACGTTCCAAGGTGATCGTATATACGAACCATTCAACAATCAAGTATGTGCTACAAAGTAAAGATGCCAAACCACGCATGATTCGGTGGGTGTTGTTGCTTCAAGAATTTGATTTTGAGATTCAAGACAAGAAAGGCATGGAGAATGTGGTGGCAGATCACTTGCCTAGATTAGGGGGCAGTCAAGAGCAAATAAGGTGACCATTAATGAAAGCTTGCCAGATAAGCAATTGTTGGGAGTTTCAATCATCCCTTGGTATGCTGACTTGGTGAACTATTTGGTGAGTGGCATTGTCCCCCTTGATTTGATCTATCATCAGAAAAAAAAAGTTTTGTGGGATGTGAAGCATTATTTTTGGGAATAACCGCTACTTTATAAACACTGTGCAGATGGGATGATTAGAAGATGTGTGCCCCAGGATGAGATGCAAGATATCCTTGACCATTGCCATTCCTTGGAGTGTGGTTTTTCGTGACAGTTCTAGCAGTTGTTTTTTCTGGCCACCATGTACCAAGATGCTAGATAGTATGTGAGCATGAGTGATAGATGTCAAAGGGTTGGCAACATTTTGAAAAAGAATGAAATGCCCTTGAACAATATCTTGGAAGGTGAACTGTTTGATTTATGGGGAATTGATTTCCTGGCCCCATTTTCCTTCTTCCTTTAACAATCAGTACATCTTTGTAGCAATGGATTATGTGTCTAAATGGGTTGAAGCAAGTGAAACTCAAACTATGACTCTCGGGAGGTGATAAGATTTGTGAAGAAAAATATTTTTTCAAGATTTGGTGTACTGAGAGCCATTATTAGTGATGAAGGCTCTCATTGTTGTAACCATTTAGTTGAGGCTTTGTTGAAAAAATATGGGGTTACTCATAAAGTGGCACTTGCCTATCATCCCCAAACAAATGGGCAAGTGGAACTTGCAAATAGGGAATTGTAGCAAATTTTGGAGAAAATTGTGAGTAGTTCAAGAAAGGATTGGGTGAATAAGTTAGATGATGCACTTCAGGCACATAGGACAACGTTCAAGACACCTTTGGGTATGTCTCCATACCGACTTGTCTTTAGAAAGTCTTGTCACTTACTAGTTGCATTAGAATATAGGGCCTATTGGGCTATTAAATAGTTAAACAAGGACTTGTAAATTGCAGGAGAAAAGAGATTGTTACAATTGAGTGAGTTGGAGGAGTTTAGGTTGGATGCTTATGAAAATAATCGGATTTACAAGGAAAAGACCAAGCATTGGCATGACAAGCATCTTCAGATTAGAAACTTTGAAATTGGGCAGCAGGTGTTACCCTTCAACTCAAGACTTAAGCTATTCCCAGGCAAGCTTCGGTCTAGGTGGTCTGGCCCATTCACGGTAACAAAAGTGTATCCATATGATGTTGTTAAGGTGCATAGTGAGGTCACTGATGCATTCAAGATTAATGGGCAGCGTTTGAAGCCTTATCTTGCTGGTAATGTGGTTCCTAAAGGAGTTACTTACTCCTTGAAGAATCCTACCTTTGGTTGATGGTGTAGAAGTATTGCAAAAAAAAAAAAAAAATCTTTCTTTTGTTTTAGTTGTTGTTTTAATTTAAGTTTTTTTTTTTGGACTAATGATGGTTGTGACCCTCTTCTTTTGGTGTAGGTTCAGAATGGTGGTTGTGACCCCCCTTCTTTTAGTTGTTGTCATGTTCAACTCAATCAAACATTCGTAGTGTTCAGCCTCGATAAAAGGGGAGTATTAGTCTTCCATTTTTCTTTCCTTTTACGTTGAGGACAATGTGAAAAT